GACCTAGTCTAGCTTTTCAGAATAATAACTTATTTTAGTCTCAGAGTGTCCAGCAGTGTTGCTGTCCTAAAATATGAAACAGAATAGTAATAGGTATAAAACGTTCATGTAAGCTCACTTGCTTGGGTAATGATGACTGAAAAGTAAAGCCCTGCCTTTTATTTACACACAATAGATGACCTAATTTCCGAAATGTGAAAATGCTTGCAGTGATTTAAGAAAGGTCAGTTATGTACATAGGGGTATTAAATGCCTGGCAACATGTTTAGCTTGATAGAGGCTAATACAGAGTCGAGCGTTCTGTATTTTTAAAGGGTTGTATCTCTAGTCAGACTAAGCTTTTTATCATTTTACTTCCTGCCATGTAACCCATTCTAATCTGATTTGCTTCACTTTGAAATTTTGGTCAGACTTGTCATCTCTGTCGGTAAGAATGTGTATGTATTGGTATTGCTAATTTTACAAACAGATTAGTTGCAAAAAATATGTATGTATTGGTATTGCTAATTTTACAAACAGATTCCTTTTTTTGCGGTTAAAAATGTGATACTCCATGTAATTTTTATATTTATAAGTAGTTAAGGTGCTGCTTTTTTTTTTTTAAGAATTAAGCTTAAGCTCTAGGTGGAAGATTATTTTGAACTTATGTATATTGGCATAATAGCACTTTTTATCTCACAGAAGAGATGGAAAACATACGGAAAGTAACAGTACGATACTAGCTCTTAACATCTCTTGATTATCTTGTGCCACCTACCTTGTCTTGAGAAGTGGCTTCTTCCAGACCAGCAGGAAAGGGAAAGCTCAGAAACGAATGGCCAAAGTGGGGCTCAGTAACGAGTCTATCCTGACACTGATAGCACACCTCGTGAGACATGTTTCATTTGTGCTCTCCGCTGTCTCTGCCTGCAGCAATAGCAAGCAAAGATCAGCTCGGATGGGGTAACTAACTATCAAGGTGTCAGTTGGTCACTGTAAATGTCCTGCTCATGAGAGACTCTAACAGATGGATGATGGTGCTACACTGTCTCTCTTGATTCAGATTGTGTGGAACAGAGTTCCACCACCTCAGAAAACCCATACTGTCCACTATCATACTGGTGTGAATCTGGTGACTTGAACTAACATATCACAGCATTCTTTTAAAAGTGAAATCTCTTCAATGCAGGTGTTTTCTGTACCTTTGTCCTTGGATAAGTTTTTTATTTTACAAGAACCTTAGAAGGAAAAGCATCTGTCCAAACTGGTCCTAACAAAATAAACCTCGCCAAGATATTTTTCCTGGCTGCAAAGGAATAGATATATTCTTGAAGGCTGAAATGTTCCGGAAGTATTAAGATAATCTCTCTGCTTTCTGTTTTGGAGGCCTGCTTCCATTAAGATAAAATGGTACAGTTACAAAGGTTTGTTTCACGCTCTTATTGTGGACAGGACCTCAGCCAGATCACCTTCCTCATTCTTGCCACCAGACACTACGGTTTCTTCTTGCAGCTGCTAGAAACAGCGGCAAGCAGTAGTCTTTAGGTTCCACAGAGATGCTGCATGTCTTAACAGTAGATTTTCTCAACTTTAAGGCATAATTTCTTTTTTAGCAAACATTGTGAATTTCAGGACCTTGATAAAATACAGGCTTTGTCCCTCAGCAAGGAATGCTGGAGCAGCTGTAAGCCAACAATTCAAAAAATCATAGCAGGTATCTGACAAGTGAGAAGGTGCAGTATGCAGCCTCTTTAATGCTGTCACAATAATTCAAGGTAAGTAATATGTAACAAAACAAGGATTTGAGCTACCTGCATAGCAGTCTTGCCAGTGCTCTAATATTGCAGGTTTCTGTGTTAATCATTGTACATGAGCAGTTTTAACTAGTAGTACATAATTTTTTCAGTGTTGGCCAAGTCTTGTTTAGGTTCATCTGCCATAAAGTCCACACTGCGTATTAGTGACATGAAGTTCTGAGCAAGGCTATGTCCTTAACAACGCTGACTAGTCATACGTTTTTATGAAGGTGGCTGAACACGAAAACTGCAGTGTAGAGGAAGAATACTTACCCTCTTGTAATATAAACAACTGTCTAGATGATATTGGGAAGGAACAAAGGATCTCAACTGAAATCTGGTTTTAGCTCTCAAACTTTTATTTTTATTCCCCCTTGCTATTTAATGATGACAGTAACTATTCTCAGACTTGAGAATGTTTGGCTGGCTCACTACTGAGTAGGAGCAGTGCCTGCAGACAGGACTATGGCCAGTAAAGAACAAGAACTCTAGGAAAAGCAGTTACTACAGTCAGAAACATTAGCTCTTTAATTACAAGAGAAACATGGAAACATGCTTCTAGTGTTCTAATACAAACATCAGTCTTAGCATTTTGTATTAAGGCAGAGAGAGTTTCCCGAAATGCTTCTTCCAAATTTCTGAGTCCTTTAAAGTTTGTTTAGGCTCCAGAAAATGCAGCAGAAAGATGTAGGTTTCTTGGCATTGGTGTTGATTTTCTTAATCTTTTTGTTCTTGCTGTTTTAAAGGTCTTTTAAACTTCTATGTAAAAATAAAGCTATGCACAAGGGGACATGAACAGTGCTCCAGTTGCCGAATCTTCTTCCAGGTTCCTTGGCACTGAGAGTTGCCAACTGCTTCCCAGTGTAAGATTTTACCTCTGAAATGTGACAGTAAATGAGGAATTAAAACTCTGAAAACGATTTCATGTTACTAGGTTGTGTTGTGTAACATGCCAGAAGATTAGATTTGCTTAAAAATGTAAAACTTTAATTAGCACATCTAGCTCTTAAAATGCTTTCTGGAGTATACAGGATGGTGGATTGAGTAGCTGGTTGCACAGGTATTAAGTAGTATGCATAGTAATAACTGTATTGATCAAATAAAAATCTGTTCCAAATGTTAAATGTCTACTTTCAAAATTACTGTTCTAGAAACCAGGTGTGTAGGTTTGAGAGGAGTACTGGTCCACCTCTGTTACACCCAAAATCAGATTTGGATTACGGCAGGAAATACCATTTTTAAGTAAAACCGCCCGTAGCTGTAAAAAGACTTCTTGCACTACAAGCATTACATCATCACTTCACAATAGTAAATAAAGCATTCAAAACACTGAACTCTCATATTGAAATTATTTCCCAATTTTATCTAGGTTTTAAAAGCAATTTCTGTGAGAACTGAAAGGGTAAATCTTCTGAGCTCTACAAGTGATATGAGCTGTTTCATTTTTTAGGTATAACAAATGCAGCTTTTAATGAGACCTTGAGAAGTCTTAACTTCTGTACTGGCTTTTGCTAGAGAAGGGACAGCAGAAAAATGGCTTTCGTTACCGATCTGCGTTATGGCCATCTCCAGAACAACGATGCGTGTCAGTATTCATAGCTGGAGGCTGGCAAGCTACACACACAGTATGTCCTTCTCGTAGGTACTGCATCCATCGAGCGTACGGCCGATTCTCCAAAGCACAGTGGTGTGAAAGTGATTCTGTTTTAAATTCCACACAGTATCTGCTCAGAAGGAAAAGTACTAAATTAGTTATGATAGATAAAGCACAAGCTAGGTACACACTTTAAATATACTTACGTATCATACGGGGGATATTTGTGAAGTGCAAGTTAGACATCATCATTGCTAACAAGTCCATTTCTGACCCTAACCAAATTAATGGATTCTTAAAAACATTACACAGACTATTTCTCATTCCATGCCCCAGTACAGTGCTTTATATATAATTTCACTTTCTGGTTGTGTTCTATATTCTTAAATTATGTTGAAAACCAGGTCTCAGTAACCTGTACTTTTTTCTTCTATGCTGCTAAAAGAGAAAATGGAAAAGAGGTTCTAAGAATACCAAATAGGTTGTTGTTCTGGGGAAAGTAGCATAGGGCGAAGCATTATGAGCATTACAGACCCAGTAGGAGCCTAATTTAAACTTCATAACCATCTCTACTGGTAACCAAACAAAATTTTTTACTGCTTGTGTCAATTGATTTAAAAAAAAAGGTCTCTTGAGACGGATCACATTCAGCCCGCTTTGTTTGTTCAGAGACCTACGTCTAATTTCTCAGACTTATGTATACATTCAGCTTTGGTTTAGCATTATTTACTGTTTGCTTTCAAAAGCAGCTATCCTCAGATTTGCCACGACCCCAATATCTAATTTAGGGCAATTAGCAAGTAATAAAAACCAACATCTAGAACATGCAAATGAACTGCAGGAGAGAAAAACAGCAAAAGCCATAGCTTATTGTTTAATTATTGCAAATTTAATTACATTTTTCTCTGTAGCCAGCTATTTTCTGTTGAACAAGATGACCCACATGCATATGATAAAGAGATTACCCAGCTGCTTCTTTGTCTGAAGGCCAGAGAGAAGATGCTGCTCGTCGTTTTCTTTCTTTACTGTATTCAGAGGTAGTTATGAAAGCAGGGACTGAGGAAGAAAACAGTTACGGTAAGGCAGCAAGACACAGTTGAGTCATATTTCAATTACTGTAACAGTGGGTGAATGAATCAGGAGCTTGTGGATGCTGACTGACTATTGAAAAAGTGACAAAATGTTGGCAACATCAGACCTCAACCCCATTCCCTACAGCTAAGCTCTCCTTATTCAGAAGAAATATATCTAGAAATGCCATCTAGTCTGTGAGGAAACAGGATGTGCTGGAATCCTACAAGGAGCTCTGTTTGCTGTTGCGTACTGAATTTGTGTTCTAACTTTGCACAGAGAGAGTCTGATACTTACTGTGGGGCTTAAGTCAAGAAACTGAAGGAATGCATGCAGCTTAGTTGTTTACTTAATAGAAATCAAGAAAAGCCTGAGTAGGAAAAAAATACAAGAATAGAATGAAGAGCAATATGACAGTAGAAAGTAAGATTTTAAATTGCATTTTTAACCAGCTAGCTGCAGATAGATGCTTTTTTTTCTGTTCATTGACATCAGTAAAATTTGCGAAGGCCCCGATGGGCACACTGTACAGATAAATCAAAGAGAGAATACCATGTTCGTGGCCGCAGTCCTCTCCCTGGTAAGTCAGGTATTCCAGGCAGCCAGCCTTCTCCTCTAGAGCAGGACAAGGTTCCCCACCGTTTTTAGGTTCCTGTTGTACATAGCGCCTACGTATCCGCAGATCGGGTTGACACTGTTCTGCACAGCCACTCCAGTGGCTCCACTCCCCCACCACACATGGAAGAGCTGCGAAGCGGTATTAAAACATTACTAGTAGTCAAGGCTTCTGCTTTATTATAATTGCTTTCAAAAGCTTGAGTAAGAAGACTGTTTTTTTCTTTCTTACATACTTTTATTTATAGGGTTTTAAATGCTCTCCTAGGAGTTTGCATCTTCATATTTAACATTCAAACCTGCCTGCAGTGCTTGGCTCCCTATTCCATCCCTTGTCCAGAAAGAAACAGCTCCTCATGGAAACCTTTCACTGTGGGGTTCTTCTGTTCCCTCTTCTGAAGCACACGGCGTTAGCCCCAAAGGAGACCAGCTCATGGATTATCTAGACCAGTGAGTGGTCTGACCTACCTTGGCAGTTCCTATACCACCAGAGTTTGTTTGAAGACTGCAACATAAAGTAGCAGAATTCAGGAAGCCTTTCAGCTCTTTGATTCCCCTCAGATGGATTTCTAACCCCTTTTCCTCAACACTGAAATAAGTTCCACTGCCACAGCTTTGTTGCCCTGTTTTAACACAAGGTGTCCTGCCCCATGGTCCTTGCTGCAAAGACAATTTTTGGTGATAATTTTGGTTTTGTTTAGTCTCAGAACAATGCAGGGGCGTGTGTAGAGTTGTGTTTCTGTGTCTGTATAGCTACTGATATAGATAGAGCTTTACAACAATGAAGATATTTAAATGTACTAAATAAAATGTGTAAAAAATGTGATTTTAAGGCCCTCTTTCGCTCATTCCCAACTTTAGAGCAGTCCACTGGACATTTGAATTTTAGTTCTCATGGATCACAAACTTCCTCTGAACTTGACCAAAACATTATGGGGAAAGTGCCATTGTTTTGAAAGTAAACTTTGAATCATAAGAAACTGCATTTCCCTCAGGCAGAGCATCAATAGTACAGGTACCCTGCACTTGTACCTTTGGTCTCTCCTAACCCAGCCTAATACTCAGAGGTACAAAGAACTTCCCTCTTCATCTGTTACATTCGCACATATTAGGTGAGCTCACTGAAGGTCTGAGATGAAGAAAGAAAGAAAAATGCTTTGTTTTGTATTCTGTGGTATTTTTCTGGCAACTGTTGAAACCTTTAGCCCAGTTTATGGCCTTTGACACCTTTTTGATTAAATAACATGCAGGTTCTTTAGAAAAAACCTAAATCATTATAATATGTAGAGAATGAGCCCTTATTTCATGTTTGTAACTTTTTGTAACCTTTCCAGGAGAGATGTAAATGATAGACTAAGCATCTCTTAATTTCAGTATTGTCTTGAAACTCAGGAATGCTCAGATCTATCAATCATATCTGTTATCCCCTAGCCATTTCCTTCCTCATTCTCTGCAGTGCATCTAATAATGCTGGCACGCTCCTTATAATTCTCATTTATATTAAGTATGATGTGCATTTTTGCGAACTATAATTTTCCCTTCTCTTGCATTGCTCATTTATATTCTGGCAAAACAGTAGCTCTGTGTCAGCCTTGCTAATGTAAACCTGGACAATAAGCCAGATATCTTCCAGGTGGATACAAATAATCTACTCTGGAAGAAAAGGTTTTGCAACCTGATTCCCAGAACACAGAAACAGGTGATGGACACATTATTCCTGAGTAAGAAGCTATGTAACACACAAGTCTTCACTTTATTTGTCCCTTAACACAGTACACAACAGTAAAAAACATACAGCTGTTCCACATGTTTCCATGAAACTGAACTTTCCTTAGCCTCATCTCCAGGAACACCAAGCCCCAGGTTTTGATAACTGTGCGGCCTAACAGTTTCACTTTTAGCAGTCAAAATGAATACTACAGCTCTTCAAAACTGTACTGAGCGCTGACTCCTGAGGGGCTGGATGAGGATGATCTCTGGGTGCCTATTGATGAAACAAACACAACCCCGCCCCAGCAAGGAACTTCAGGTCTGCACAGCCTCGGCAGGCAAAGCAGTGAAAGAACAGGTAAGCAAAATGTCTTGTATATGGGCATCCATCAAGAGGAAGAATCATCTGAGGATAAGCAGTCATCTCCCTATGCAAGTAGTCCTCAACCTGTGGCCTACGAGGACATTTACTCTGACCAGCAGTCCATTCCCAGTAGCCTCTTTTCCTGGAGGCCACCTGGTAGGTGCTCCAGGTTGGGCAGCCGCATTCCTCCGGGCTGCTTCCCCTCTCGTCAGTGAGTGTGTCCGAAGGGAATGTCCTCTGCCTGGACACCAGCAGCAGTACCGGCTTTCCCATGCGTGCACGGCATGCTGCTGGGCAAGCAGGGAACAGCTGGCTCTGCAGCTCTTCTTAACCATGAAATGAGACAAGCAATGAAAACACTGCAGCGCTGTGTATTAGTCCATGGTGCTTTCCCTAATATCATTAGCTGCTTTTTGTCCTCTGATGGGCTTGCTTTTTCAATAAAGTTATAATTAATGTCATGTAATTGAAAGACTAGCACATAGTATCTTATAAAAACCTAAAGGTGCCTATGTTAATATTACAGTTTCTTATTGATATGGAAATTCCCCAATTCTTCAGACTTGTTTTCATTGCACATTGCAAATAGGCCTAGAATTATTTTCCATGTAGTGTGAATCACATTTTACTTTGCTTTTCCGCTGCTTTATAAAGGCAGGTCTTCAACATGACACTGAGAGAATGGTACAAAATATATGTTATAGTCAATGGTTGGGCCATCTTAAATTGCTCATTCCTCTCATTATCTAGTTAAATGAAGCTTTTTCCTTCCCCATGTATGCTGTTTCCCATTAGCTTGTAACGGAACATATCACATGTTTTCAATCTTTTTTTTTCTGTAGTTCCTAATTATAATTTAAATCCTCAAGAAGCTTTACAGCTTAACCACTAGTTATGTACTTGTATCAGTGTTGCAGGAAAGTGATGGGACCAAACTAGTCTTTCAGGAAAATATTTTATGCCCTCTAGGATTCTGCCAGTACAAGACATTGGGAAGAAAGAGTAAAATGTGATAATCTCTTTGGTGTTTGTGATTTTTCATAAGACAGAGAAATTGCTGGGTTTGCTCTGTCACTACTTCTCTAATTTCTTGGAGCACTACAGACATCATCAAGCAGATAAAACCCCTGACAGAGGCTACCTGGCAGATGTCGTTACCACACTGTTACTATTCCCCTCCTTTCCTCTCACTGTGCACGTGTTCTGACCAAACTTGCCCACTTTTGAGTGGCCTGACAGCGCCAGGAGTACGGGTGGCTGAGGATGCTGCACCCCATGCCCTAAGGAACTCCACTGAAACAGAACCACTGAGCAGCCCTGGGCATTGGGCCACCAGTTGTCCATCCTGCTTAACCATCAGCATTCTCTGGCATTTTCTTCTACTTACTGATAAACACCTTCCCAGACAGCTCCTGGGTATGATTCGTAGAACAGCACTGGTAAATAACATGGAAAAAGCATATGGCTCCCTTTGCCGCATGCAGATACCTGCCACTGCACCACCAGGCACTGCCCTCAGACACATCAAGGTAGCCCAAGGCACATGACACAGTCTCTGTGGCTGCAAAGTCACCACTCAAACATGTTGCATGCATTTGTTTCAAGCATTTTGAACGAGAAAAAAAGAAAACCAGTGATAGCAAAAATGTCTTAGACCCCGCCATGGTGGGTCACAAGTCCTAAATGTAGTATGGACCTCACAGTCTTTGCCACCTAGCCGCTGGGCCAGAAAAGAGTCCTTGGCCCCACTTTATTTAATAGTACAAGCATAGATTTCAATGCCTGATCACACATCTTAGTTCTACCTAGAGTACCCAAAGGACAGTAAGTGTCATCTAGCCCAGTTTCCTTATCTGTTGACTCTCTTCCAAGTTGGCTGTATGAATGACCTGCAGAAGTAAGAATTTCTACATAATTTTAATCCCATATTAGCACCTTGATATGCAGATAACATCAAGTCTAACATCACATTTTCCACACAGAAAACTCCCAAAGGGACTGAGCAGCTGCATAACAAATAAAGCAATGACTTCACATCTTACTGGAATTAAACCAAGCTGACAGCTAAATATTGGTCATCTGCAGCAATACATGGCAATTTTATGGTCATCAAGATTTAGAACAAGAAGTATGAATTGCCTTAGTCATGTGGAATAATAAGAATATTGGGTTGCTAGAATGGAATTTAGCCAGTGGGATAACAACGTCGCTCTTGCAGTCAGTACCCAGCAACTATTAAGGGACAGTACATCAGTTTTGTGCCTCATTGGAAAGATGTCAAATTCCCCAGCATGACAGAGAATGGGTCCCAGAGCTGACATAAAAGGAATGGTGCCATCTCTTGAAATACAAAAAGAAGTATGAGGGACCCATAGCTACATCCATATGGTCTCTGTCGATGTTACTATTGGTCCAGCTTACTTAACACAATGATGGTAGATGATGATTCGTCAAAACAATGAGAAGGATGCAAGTCAACGGAACCTGAAGGACAGGATTTGTGCTCAGGTACCTACCAAAATGTAGAAGCTAGTGAGACACTGGGAAGTTCAAAAATACACGGAAAAATTACATTGCTACCCTATGAAACACAGCTTGAGTGGTCAAGACTTTTTTTTTTTTTTTTTCATTTACAGCACTGTGAATCATGGATTTTTTTCTGAGTCACACTCTATTTAAATTTTTCCCACCTCTGGAAAAAAGAGGATTACAGTATCTTCACTGAATCACTGCACAATATATGTGGTAATGTATAAGGATCTGTGGATTCTCTCAGAGTAACCACTTCCATTCAAATGACGAGGCCATTCCTTTTTCAGGTTCTCATTGTACAGTAGTTTCTATTTAAAATGCTCTCTATGTACAAAAATACTCTTTCTTCATTGTTAGGACTATAAGAAAATTTATTTTGAAAGACCTGTAAAGAAATTTATTTAAAAATCCTTGGACCTAGGTTCA